AAGCTACAGATGAACCTTCAGCTTTCCTGTTATTATCAACAATGTACAGCTGTAGCCAGTTAGTTTTCTTCAGGTTTCCCATGCTTCTTAGCTTTGTTCATATTTTTTAACATAAAACAGCTGAGCTCAAACTTTGACAAAGCCTCACCCTTTTACTGCAATAAGTGTTTTCTTACAGGGTTTCATTCTGTTAAAACAATAGCAAAAAAGAAAAGCTCATTCGAGTGTACTTCTAATATGTTTTCTCTGGTTATACTCTTCAATTTCAATTACTTCTCAGTTTATAATTATCAAACATCATCAACAGTAATGTAACTGAAGCTGAACGCCACTGGCTGCAGTGTTTTCTCACCTGTACTCTCTTAAGCCAAGATACAGAAGGTGAGATTATAGAGATGGCGGTGAAGCTGCAATGCCACTCTGAGGGTAAAGCCTTGAACGTTGGTGTGGAAAGTTCCACACTCAGGAACAAAATACTGAATTCAACTTCTTTAGGACTGTGGCTTTATCTGGTGTCACTGGATGACAGACAGTGGCAGTCTGTTCAACGGTTCACTACTCAGGCAGCATACCAAGAGCCCCTGCTTGCCCAAATGGTCATTCTACACTTGAGGAAACGTACTGAAGCAGCTGTTCTCTTTAGCAGTTCCATGCTCAACTTTCATTAAGACTGTTTCAGCTACTGAAGAGTAGCTTCTGCTTTCTTCTCACTGCTGTGATATTTAGTGGAAGGTAACTTAGTAGCTCCATGGGGCGCATCAGCAACTGGAATTGTAAAATAGCAGAGTACTGATAACTGTTCACAGCAACCAGGGCTCACTGTGATGTTTCCTTCCTTAAAGAGCTCGTGCAGAATGTCATACAGGTCACGTTCACAAATACGTACCAAAATCAATGCACAGCCAGTCATCTGTTTCTTTCCCTTCAATCCGAGTGTGAGGATCGCTTTCTTCCTTCTGATGCTTGTACTGAGAAGCAACAGCAGAAAATGAAATATTTCACATTCATTTAAACACACTCAGACCTGGCAGCTAAACTTGACTTTATCAAGCTGTGTAGAGTTGTTTTAAATCAGAAATGCAATAGGTAGACAATAATGGTGGTTTTGAGGGCTGCACAGATATATACAGCTGCAGCTCTGGAAAAAAAGTACAGAACTCTCAGTGAGATTTACCATCAGACCTGGAGTTCCAATGTCCAAAGCTCCCAAGCAGTTACCCATGAGATTTGTGTCCATTTCTTCCTCAAGATGAATACTAAGCTGTTACTTAGCAATGAAATAGCCTTGCAGGTAAATTCCCTAGCACTAGTTATGGGGAATCTTAACTATCACCAGCATCACATTTTGCCTCCTTTCACATATCTTTTGTTTTGTTTTATGCTGGCAGAAATGGAGATGCCCAATGGAACAGAGAGAGGGAGAGAAAATGAGTTTGACCCTGCATCACAGAAAAGGCAAAGAAGTCTCCTGCCTCAGGAGCATGCTCTGAGCACTTGTTGCATAGTGGGGAAAACATGATCAGCATTCAGGTTTACAAGTTATGAATTACTAGGACAAAGAGGAGAGGGCAGCTCACAGCAGGACTGCAGAAGCTATGGGGGCAAGGCAGGGAATTTCCTATGCAACACAGCAGCTCTTGCAGACAATGACTGGAGAGGATCCAGTCTTCCTACCGGCAACACCAACAATCTAAGCATCTCCCAGAGCTGGAGAAATTTCACAACTGGAGGTTTAAGTACAGTTTGTTTATATATCAAGCATAAATTAAAAACAAACAAACAACAACCTACAATATTGAAACTGATGAATCTTCACTGCTCCTTAATCAGTTTTACCTTATCTCTAGGTCATGCATCTTATCTAAAACATGGAAACCTTTTAAAGCTGCAATTAAAACAAGAAAACTAAGAAAATATTTATTTCTGAACAAGGAAACAGTACAGGTACACAGCAATAGCAGTCCCTTCTGCCTTGAAAATCAGATTATAAAAATAAGACTGTAATAGTATGGCCAGTCAGGAAATGAATCCTACTTCAATATGAAATCAATTACCACCAAATGCAACTCTTTGTGGTTGTTCCATATAATGCCACCTACTGGACAACGGTATCAACTTGCAAAGAACAGAGTGGCCATAACTTAATTACAAGTTAATTACAGAAACTACATTTCTGTAAAGTAGCTTATGAGATATCCTTAAAAGAAGGTAACCAAAGACATGTAACTCAACATGGGAAGGCTGAGGCTGATCTCCACCACAGGTTTCCTTCAGCCCTATCTTTAAAGGCCGAACAAATTGTAAAGACAAGCATTATGTTCTTAATCTAACACAACACCAGACAGGAAGGAGTAAGCTGCAGTTGGGACTTTGCTGCTTACAAGCTGCTAGAAGAGTGGGAAGGCCTCATGTTACACACAGGCACATGTGCATTTCAGTGCCAGTAAATCATCCATTCCATAACACTGGAAGTATGGTAGTACTAAAGCTAGCCAGCTGCCCCCACACCTGCTATGCTTAGGCTTCAGCTTCCTTTTTGCCCACAGAGCTTCCAATGCCAGGTACGCTCTGCCACTCTGAGTACTGAAAAGTAAAACCATCTTCCCCTTCTTCCCTCAAGTTTCATAGCTGAAACCAACAGGACTCAAAGAAAAATGAATGAAGAGCTAGGAGAAATACAGGGTCAGGAAGTGAAAGGATGCATATTAAGGAAATGGCAAGCTGCAGGTTACGAGTAGAGAAAGGTGAACAAGACGGGGGCAAGTTGTACTTTTCACACCATGCTTTTAACAGTCAGGACAGCTCTTTTCTAGCCTCAAAGATTTGCCCTCCCAGAATTAGGTCCTCATCACTAAGCTCTACGTATATTCTTATTCTGACCTATGCTCCTGTACTGAAAAGCACACTCTGCCAAAGCCAAACTGCACAAGATTTCTATGAAGGATGGCTGCTGCTTCTCCTTCCCTTCTGCACATGCACAGCACAGTCAGTAGCAGTTTGCTTTAGTAAGCCTAGGAGAGGATCCTTTGCCTCATAGTATGCAGTCTTTCTACTGGTCTCACAGTGTATTTGAAAACCTGCAGATCGGATGGATTAGGGTTTGAGAACAGTCAGATTAGGCTATTTTGAGGGAGTGGGAATAGCTGTGAAGCATGTTGAACTGAAGACACAAACAGACACAGTTTGTCAGTACCATTTCTCATTGCCGATAAACTCTCACTGCAGCCACCAACCTATGCTACTGTCATCGGTGCTCTGAATACAGAAGTATGTTATTAAAATATAATCTTTAAATGTTGAGCAGCACTACTAAAGAAGAAAACTACAGTCAGTTGCTGGATGCACTCAAAAATAAATGACACGAGGATATGCAATTTTATCTTGCCCAGTGTATCTGCACAACAGTAAGCCCAGGGAAATTAATTTCACAGTTTAAATCTTCACCTAAAACTACTCCCACCGAGAGAATACAGTGGGAACTGTCTTACCATCTTCAGCATGTAATGTGCCATTGCATGGAGATGCCGTGTTGAAGATCCGCTCACAACTATAAAATAATTGCAGTATTTTATTTCTGGAGGTATTTGGATGACACAGATGTCCTTCGCATTCTCTTGCCTCAGCAGATTTACAACAAAGTCAATGCTGAACTTTGGAAGAGAAGAGTCTAGAACAGAAAACATAACAGCAGTAATGATAACTGCCTTCTTGCCGCTTCCAAGTTATCGAAGATGCAAAATAGCAGCGAACTAAATAAATTAAAGCCACTCATAGTGAAGTCTGGTTTGGTACCGGCAATCCAACATGAACAGCTGATTTTTAAAAGCTACGTTTTAAAATCATCCAAGTTGAGTACTAAAGCTCTCTTCTGGTAAATAATGCTCTCTAGATGCATGGAGCAGTTGGCAAATGTCAGAGTTTCCTTAAGGTAACTTCTTTATTTCTCACAAGCACATCTTAAAGTCGATACTATCATCAGATATTCGACAATTAAAATGAATAAAACTAAAATACTTCAGCAGACATTCACTTTGAACACATTAGGAATATTCCACAACAGTGCTTGGTCAACAGGCCCCAGCAGGCCCAGGATAACGTGTGAGAAACCCAACTCTTAAGCAGAGAAAATGAATGCATTACAACAGAGCCAGTGCGACACTGTTCTTTTCCTGCTCTGCCACTGGGGATTATCACAGCCTTTAAAGGAAAACACCTCTCACATCATCCAACCCAGCCACCAGCCCACCTAACGTCAGGCCATCACCTCTCATCCTGCTGCTGTTACCCGGGAGCAGAGGCCGGCCCTCGTCTCACTACCCCGTCCTTTCAGGGAGCTGCAGATCCGTTACCGTACCGCAGACAAAGCTGGAGATAAAGCCCGTGTTAAACACCTCTCAGAGCGGCGGTGAGGAGCCCGGCACACGGGTGCCGCTCCCTCTGCTCACACCACCGCGTCAGGTCAGCTCCAAGCTGCCCTAAGCAGCAGATACCAGCCGTGCGCGTTTCAGCACAGACCGAGCACTACCACAAAGCCGCGCTCCGCGTTCACCAATACAAAGACAGAGCCAAACAACGGAACGGCAGCTACGCGCAAGTATTGCCACGGTTGGGGCCACGAAGCCGGCTCCGTATCCGCCCTCCTGGCTCTCACCCGCGACGACACTCGATAACGGCCCGCACGCTGGCCCTACCTGCCGCCTGCCGCCGCTCCTCCGTCGCGGCCGCCGCTCCGCCGCCCCCCGCTCCCCTCACAGCTGCTCCCCCGCCCCCGCGCGGCGCCCCGACCGCGGGCGCAGTGGAGCAGGACCGCAGAAGGCGGCGGCCTCCCAGCAGCGCCCGCCACATTCCGGCCGTCCCGCGTCCCACCCACGGCCTGGCTGCCGCTCAGCGATTGGCCAGCCTGCCGGCCGCCTCTCGTGCCTATTAGCTTATCTCGCCGTCAATCTGCTTGCACAGAAGGGCGCGAGACGGCGCGTGCGTGGGGGCCCTTGTTGGTGAGGCGGGGTGTGGAGGCCGTGCTGTAATGGCGGCTGGGCGGCTCGGTCCTGCTTCGTGCGGGCTGCGTGCCCCGCTGTGAGGGCGGGCTTGAGCTGAGCATCTGGCTTGCACAAAGGCACCAAGGCTAAGGCAGGTCCACCTGTGTTTTCTGCAGGTAGGCACTGGTTTGGTCAGTACTCAGCTCGCCAAGCTGCCTGTTTGACTCGTTGCAAGACAAACGGAGAGTGCTCTTGACAATCGTTGGATGGTTTATTTGTCAATACAGCAGCTAGATTCCATTGTATAAAACGAAAGGTGTACAAAATGGAAGTTGCAGTTGGAAAGGCAAAATCAGATGATAAAACTAAAGTGACATGATATGTAAAAAAGATAGCGCACACCGTGTTGTACTCTTGGGTAAAAGATTTAAAAAAAGTTACTGAAGTGTGCCTGAAAGCTGATTTCGGTGTAAAAGCCTAAGAAGACAACACGGCTCCTAAAATGTTCTCCAAACAGGGTGCTTTCTGCCTGTAGCTTGGGTCACTGGCAGCCCGCGTTACTCCTGACCCTGAGACAGAGCTCATCTCTCACTGCCTCATAGCAGGTCGTCATGGTGAGGTGTTGGTGGAAGCCCTGTCCTGCCCCAGACCAGGGCAGCAAGTCAGCTTCAGGCGATGACAGGCCTTGTAATGTTCAGACAGTACATTTCACAGGAAAAGTAGTTTCTGTTCAAGTCAGGGAATTGTTTGCCCAGTTATGGTTAGATGGGTGTTTGCTATCCATAAGGAAGACATAACAAAAACAGACCTGGTACTTCTAATCGTATATCTGAAATGGCTACAAAAGAAGTACAATTCATTGGAGAATGTGGAAACAAAATAAAAGTCTACTGAATTTTTATAGCTTCAGACCTAACCTCACAAGTGTGTCATAATCTGTATATCCTCAAGTGATGTCTGTGCACAGTGTGGATGTGATAGTGAAGGCTGTGTTCAGATTGCAAATGGTGAGCAGGGCTGCCAAGATGTCAGGAAAATACATCTGTGGTTCTTCATTGCCTCAGGAATGGAAAACAATATGTGTCAGGCTAATTGTAAGATACATTAAATAAGCTAAATGTATTGAAATATAGATCTTCAAAGAATTCAGTGTTCAGAAATAGATTGTGTAGAGTTACGTGCCCAGCACAAGCTGAGTGACGCAAAAGCAATAACTGAAGCATGGTGCCTTATGTAGATTGGGGTTTTCACTTGAGAAAGTGGTCGAAGAGAGAGAGTGGAGAAATTAGAATTTCTTTAAAATCAAGTTTCGACAGGAAAAACCAAGCAGGTGGGCCTTGTTATTGTTGCTTGGGGTCTGTGGTCCAGGTTATAGTGAGTCTTGTGCACTAGTAGCTATGTCCACAGCAGTGAGCTGCTGTGTCCAGCCCTGTCTGCCTGCACACTTCTGAATGCCATTGCCATGCAAAGCAGGGTGGCTGCCAAACTGCATGTGAGCAGCAGTGCCTGTGGAGGTTCCCAGAGGCTGGGGTTTGCTTGGTGGGGAGCTGGTAGGTGCAGGACAAGCCTGTGCTAAGACCAACAGTAAATCAACATGAGCAGCTAGGTGCCTGTGCCTGGGAGTATAGCATGGCAGTTTCTTTCCACAGCTGTAGCCAGTGTCTGCCTCCTGTTTCTGACCTGAATCTTCTTTAAGGTGATAAGCAGCTATACTGGACTGTCTATTTAAGACTAAGTATTTATGCATTTTTGGTTTTTGCTTGTTTACATAATATTTTTTCCCCTGCAGGTTTTAGATCTGATTAATTTTATATCTAGTTAACCCAAAAGTTAGAAAACGCCAGGCATGAGGGTTAGTTATTTAGAAAAGCATATCCTAGATCATAAGCAAGAACAGCAAGTGCACAAAACTACCTTTGTTTTCTAAGAAGGACTATTTTGGTATTTCGAATTGCACCAAGCCCCCTACAGCTACCAATCAATCTAGATGTGTTTTTATCTTACCCATTTCTTTTTATAACAACAACAAAAAAATCATGATACAGTCTTATACATAATCTAAGTCAATGTTAAGCTAAAGGTTTAAACAATGCCTGGTTTGCTTTTCAACAGAGGATTTCTCTCGGTACTCTTAGGGAAGAAAAAGGCTTTGAAGCTGCTGACATAAGCACTCAGTCCCTCCTGGTTCTCTGCTTGTCCTGCACTTCTCTCAATAGGTTTGTATTGTTTGTATCTCCTGCAAAGAACATGTAGAGTTAGGTGCAGAATGACATTTGAACACAAAGGTCCACATTTAGCATGTGGCCCAGTGCAGAGGAGAATTGATCATATATTCATAACATAATTCCTTCCCCCTTCTATTAAAACAATAATGATTGACTGCCGTAGTTAATTAGTTGTGACTAAGGGTAAGGCCTGGTTAATGAGAAGGCTCTGTTGCTTAGAGTATTGTTGCTCTGTGTTTCCTCCTCACCACTGCCTGCAAAGGCTGAGCATACTCTTAACTCAGGAGTCTCAGTGCAGTCTTGAAGTTTCACCAGAAACATCAAAGCTAATAATGCACAAATATGTGTTTCTTTTAACCACTTTCTGCATGTCCAGTACCCTTTTCCCAGAGAATCTGTCACTTATTTGATATATTTTGATGATTAATTCTTGATCACTGCTGTTAAGAGTTTTAAAGCTACATAAAATTTCTATTTGTTAAGTTCTACTGAATACTAAATGACATTATGCAGTTTGAGTTTCCTTACATGCTGTTCCCAGGCCTTTTATTACTGTTAATGCATATAAACACCAAATGTAATTTTCTATTAAATTTAAATATTTACAAATTTTCTGATGGCTTTATGGGTTAAGCCAGTAATCTCATATTCTTGAGTGTTTGCTAGAACATTTGTGAATAACAATGAAAAAGAAACAAAAATACAGCTAGCACAAATTTAAGTTGTGGGTTGTGCTAGTTTAGCTAATATTTTTGTCAGTTCCTTGAACTGTTTTTAGTCTTAGCAACTTACTTGTAAAGGACGAAAGCCCCAATGGCGCCAAACACTGCCAACAAACCAAGGAAGATGAAGACACCTTTTGTTGTCCCTGAGGATGATCCTAGAGTTCAGAAAGCAGCTAGATTAAAAATTAGCCTTATTTTAACAGAGTAATTGGTTTTCTCAAGAAAATACAATTTTTATCCAACTGTTTTAATGGCTGTATTACACTGGAATGCAAGCTAAGCGTTGGAAGTCAGAGACTTAGGCAAGAGATGATGTGTTTTCACAGCCCGATAGGCTTAATTCTGAGAGGCAGCACACAGTGGGCTGGCTCTGCTGGTTTTGCATGTGGATTGCTCCAGAGACACGCTGTGGCTCCTCCAGCCACTGAGGGACCCGTGGTGGCATCCCATGAGGTGGAGCTGATTGGCTCCCCGCCGATTGCAAAGTTAGGGGACCATTTACACTGGAGTATGAAATGTTGTTTCTTTATAAGCTATAATATAAGAATCAACTTTAGCCTATCAACTAATAGCCACGAGGTAAGGAAAAGAGAATAAAAATAGACTTTCTTAAATGCTGTTTGTTTCAGCTCCACATATTAAGATGGCAAAGCCTGGCTGAGAGCCTAATGGACCCAGGCTTGTTTGCTTTATTGAAGAGCTGAGAGCTCTGCTGTTTAACATTCTTACCCAGGGAAATTAATTCTGAGCTCTGATCGTCATTGAGCTCTATTTTCTGGCTTGTCACTGACAATTTCACTCCATTCCAAATTCCATTGTATGTGATAGAAGAAGGTGCATCGTTACAATTTTTTTAAATGTGTTACATATCTTAATTTTCCAGCCCATTGAAAGGACTTCAACCCATTCACTGAGAATACTGAGACACATTATTACTCCTCGTATTTACCACAGTTTTTATACAGTGAAGTAACCTAGAGGTGCATGTTGACTTACTTGCCAGTGTGTTGATTTATAATTGATTTATAATTGATATCTATGAAAAATCATGACATTAAATCATTTTCTTGGTATGTGTGCCTCATGCATTTTTCAGTTTGTTGATAAAATACCTGTGGAGGCTTGACTTCACTGTTTGTTCACATGATATTTTTTCTGAGAGTATAGGGACTTGCACTGTTTTATTAATAAGGCAGGTCCCTGGACTAGCTTGCAAAGGAAACTGATGGGACAGGTCTAAATTGTAGGACTGCAATTCATTCAACAGCAGTTTGAACAGGTTAAAAGCTGCTTGTGAGCAATGCCTACAAACCCAGATACAGTCCTGCCAAACTTCAAAGGTCAAATGTTTACGTGTGCTTGGGTACCAAATGGGATTTTCCCTTGAAATATGTGCAAAATCATGACACGTGGGAAATGTTTGCACATTTTAGGTGAGCTCCTCCAGAAGGTGATTCGTAGCAGCAGCCTCTCTTAGATCCTATTTCCGAAATGATTATAGCGTAAAGCTCCAGACTACAAATTAGCTTTTCCTTCAGGAGGAAACCTGGGGAGACAGTCTTGTTAGGCTAAATTTAGCTGCTGTGAATACACTTTTGTAAAATCCTACTTCATTTTTTTTCCTGTCTTTTGGAGCTGAAATACAATTAGGTCAGACATTGTGTCTTAGTCACCATAAATGATTTAGGCACAGCTAATTTTACAGCTAGATAGAATAAAAGCAGCCAAAATACTGTGGCAAGTGACTTCAAAGGGTCAGTTTCTTGGCTGATGCCAATTAAATAAATAAGAATAGTCACTGGGATGTTCAGTGAGAGGTCAGGAGGGGAATGGGTTGGGAGCAGAGAGACAGCTTTATTGTTTAGGGTCCTTAGTGAGGCCAAGTTAATACCTGTTTCTGTCAAAGACTGCTTGAATAACTGTGAGTGAGATACAGTGATACTCATCTGACCAAGGTAAACCTATTCTGAAAACAGTCACCTAGGGCACACTTTGTCATCAGTGAATGACTCAGGCCTTTCCAGAGCCTGGTTCATCTTGTGTAGAAATAGAAACTCAGTTAAGATCAATGAGCTACAAAGAGGGCACAGGGCAGCCTGCCCAGCTGTAGGCTTCGGTTCTCTTTCAAATGAGCCAAATCCTTCCTTACTGTCTTCTATGTATCCATGTGTGCAGTAGGATGAATGACATGTCCCTTACCTACTTTTCTGCCCAACAGAGTAGCAAAAATAACCTACAGCTAAAGAACATTTCATGTTTTGTGTTACTGATGGGTTTGTATGATTGCTGTACTCTGTAAGCTGTAAATCAAACCAAGTTCTAACATTTAAAATTTTCATAGGGAAGCAAATGTCTTTTGTCGCTGTATGACCTCTCACACAAGATGGCTGAGGCCTCCAGGCACACTGAAACTCCCATGTTTCTCTTGTGTTCCCTTCTCAGCAGATAAATGACTACAGGGAGAAACTACTCACAGACAACCTGCATCTGCTCTGCACGGACTCACCTCCATTTACAGAAATAAGCGCACTGGCAAGGGCTTGACTCGTGTCATCACCCAAGGTGATGTTTATACAGTACGTTCCGGGTTCATCAAAAGCTCTCCTAATGGTGAGTAGGCATTCTTCAGTGACGACGACGGGGTCACATACCATGCCCTGAGACACCTGGCATGTGGGGTCAGAAACTGCTGTACAGACATCTGTAGGGAGGCTGGGGTGGGAAGAGAGAATATGTTGCGTTGTGGAATCCTGTTAGCCCCACTTATGGACACCTTGCACTGCTGCCCCAGATTTATACTGATGTTTGTTCGCTTACCGTCGTGATTATGAAGATGGCATGTATATATTATCTATATGTATTATCTATATTTTATGCATTTAACATTTTATGGTGATCACAGGAAAAACCTGCCACAGATTGACTTATGAAATTTGTTGCCTTTAATACACATAATTATGAAAAGAATACGGATTCTTATGTGTAATGTCGTGTGCTGAAAAATGTGAACACTAACTTAAGAGAGGTAAATTGTTTTCCAGTTGTGTTGCCAAGACAATTTTTGTAGTTCTCATGCCTCTCAACTGATCCCCTTCCAGGAGCTAGGAAAATTAGTGCAACATTTTCTCTCTAAGAAACTGCTTAGACACACCCATTTACTCTAAATGTCAAAAAAGAGACTGAAAAGAGACTTCTTCCTTCCAACTTCAGTAGGCTGCTTCCAATTTCACATTGAGTGCTAAAATCCTGTCTTTGCCAGGAAAATATAGAATTGCTTCTCCACAGTATCTAGTTCTCTTACTTTTAGTTCAGCCTGCCATTTGTTCTGTATCCTACGAGCCTGGCAGTAGCTTCTATTGACATAATTTACAAATGAGACTTTCATTATCTTTAGTTCCAGTCAAGAAATAGAAACACTGTGGTGTTCCCAACATTTGTTCATTCTGCTGTGTGTAAGCACAGACAGTGTTCCAGCACCTAATTATTTTTAAAGAGGGAAGATGATTAACAATTTCATTTACATACTTACCTCCCTTGGCAGGTAACAACAAAGTCAACCAGTGGATTTTCAGCTTCACTTTCTGTCAACTGGATGCTTGTCATCCGAATAATATTTACCTCAAGGATTCCCTCTGGGAGAGGAAACAGATGTCAACAGTAGGACACATGACAACCTTGTGTGTACAGAAACTCAAGTGTTTGGCTGATGCTCAGGTCAGGTCTTGTTTGCCATAACTTTCCTCCCTTTGTGCTCCTTTTAAAGGGTTTGAAAGCTGAGAAATATTCCAGTACTTTCCCTATGAGATCATGGCTTTCTGCTTCGCTTTATTTTTCTTGTATAGTTAGTTATTTCTTTCACAAAATCACTTCCACCTCCCAGTAGCCACACTTCTGTACATGCCAAGGTTAGCACAACCTTATGTGATCCCGCTGGCCGGTGGGTTTCAGAACAGGAAAGAATTATAGAGCTTGTATCCCCACCAGCTTTCTCCCAGCCCAAGTGCCCAGAAACACATGTGTAGCATGGGGACAACCATCAGCAGGTGTCCAGACAAAAGAAGATCAAGACTTGTCTGAAACCAAAGTACCATAAACTTCAGTACAGGCTGACCTGTCAGCATCTAAAGAAACCAAAGTAGGGTGGTTAACTATGTGTGCATTAATCTGTGAAAATGCTAGCTGTGTCCAAGAGAAGGATCTTGACTGTGGGACTCACATATCTGATAAAACTATGACTAAACAAACATTATCTTTGCCATATGTGTAGTACATTTGCCTCATTCTGCTCCAGGTATTGGCTCACATCATTACCTACAATGGCGATACCAGCTGTGTAGTATCCATATCTGTAAATGTGGCAGCCTCCATCAGGATTGTCTTCTGTTGTCTCATTGGGGACAGAAGGGTCTGAATTAGAAAGAGCTTCGGTTGTTACTGTTGGTTTGAGGAAAGAAACATAGATATACATCTTTAGAATGAGTGTAGAAGTATTCTGAGCATGACTATCTCTCTCGATAGTACTAATTACATATGTCACTGGTTGTTTTGCTTTGCAGCTATGCAGTAATACATTTATCTTTGTGGGATCATTCTGAAAGAAAACACATGTGGGAAGCTGCTCTGTAGAACCCTACAGTGGCCTGAGTAAACTCTGCCAGTCCTCTGTCTGTGTGAAATAAAAGTGAGACTGCAAGATTGGGTATAATTGAGCTTTAAAATTCCCACATCAATTATATTCCAAATGCCAACAAAAGCTCTCTTAGAAAGCAAGTATTTTTCTATTGTTCTATATTAGAGCTAATAAGGAAGTAGTGAAAATTCTCTTTTCTTTGCTTTTTAATTCTCACTTCATATTTCATTAAAACCACATAAAAATGTGAAATTTGAAAAATATAGCCAGATTTACAATTTGATACTGGTAGTGTTATATAGTTACCCAGGCTGAAACTGCAGGCCTTTTGCAAACTTTAAAATCCTTTGATATGTTAAAAAAATGCTGACCGTCATGAAGATTATTCTGAAATACAGTTGTGCATAAATTTAAAGTGAAAAAGCCATTCTTGGCTTAATGCAGTGTGGAAATCCCATATTTTGAAATACATGTAAATGTTTTTCTAGTTCAATCCAATCTCATTTAATTTTGGGTGGAGATTAATGCAAACCAGAAAGGAACTGGCTCTGAAATACTTCTTCCTCGCTTAAAATTTACATCTTACCTCAAAAGATGTCTCTTGAGTGGGCAAGACCACAACCACTTGATCTGGTGTAGTGGAGGATATGAAAATAGATGTATATGTGCTTAGGTCTATGTGAAGACCCCTTTAAGTCATTGTGGTGAGAAATGGAAATTAGTTTTTTGAATATGTGTATATGATGTCTGTGTGTGTGTTGATTCTGTCTCTAAGCCAGTTTGTGAAGCTTGCAGATTTCACAGAACTTTTTTGATAAACCAAAAGTTCTGAATACATGTACTTAATGATTTAGAGATTTAGTATAGATCCTCACTGCTGATAGATAAACTCTTACCTGCTGGGGTGGGCAATGATGGAGTGGGTGTTACTGGCTTGCAAGGCACGGGTATAATAGCTTGAACAGTTAAATTGAGAGTGAAGTTTCCTTGCAGAGCAAAGGTGTGAGATGTGGTGGCACTGCTTTCTACAAATAAGCCACTTCCATCTCCAAAATTCCACTTGTAGGAGATGGCGGAATTATTAAGGTAGTAGCTGGGATCATGGATTTTCACATCAAATGTGATTGGTGAGTCTTTGATAAAAATGGAGTCTGAGATGTTACGGTCATGTTTTTGGGACAAGCTCACAGATAGTGGAATTTTGTCTGCCAGAAAAAAAAAAAAGAAAGAAAGTGAGTAAAGTGCACGTATCTGCCTCCAAACAACAGACAGCTCCAAAGCTCCTGAACAAGAGTCAGAATGTGAGACATTAGTATCTCTAACATGGGTTTCTAGTTTAATTTGATTTACTGATCTTCCAAGTCAGTGGCAAACAGTTATCCAGAGAGGTATGGGGACAAATAAGGAATCACAGGTATCAGTGGAAAATTGCATTTCCTCTGGTAAATCACATCAAGTAGAGATGTCACAACTGAGATAGTTACAGAGATTAATTACATTATTCTAGGGAATTTGCTAGAGATATCACATTTGTATTAAAAACCTTTCTCAGGCTATGCATTCTTTGCATGCCAGATTATGTTTGTGGTGAATTCTTTCTTTTAACAGCGAAACAACAAATGCTCCCAGTATTTTGTTGCAGTTTGTTTCAGCACACTCACCTGTTACAACATAAGTGGTACTTGCTCTTGCAATGGGAACGTATGTTGAGTGCCCTCTCCTGTAAATGGATACTGCCATTGTGTGTTTGCCAAGAGTGATATTTGCAGTGTTGACTGAAAAAATTGCTGAAGATCGTCCAATTGTTTGATAGTACTGGCCTGAAACAGAACATGAACTTGTCATATATTTTCCTTTGAGTCTAGCTACAAGAAATTATTTTTACAGAACCTGTATCTTTGTGACTCTTGGGTTGCCTAATCAAAATGTGTAGTTCAGATTTGTCCTTCAGTTGCCTGGCAGGTGTTTGGGGAGCACTTTTACAATGCATTTACTCCCATTTTTTTTTTTTTTTTTTCCCAAAGGTGTCAGAAAGGTGTCCCACATTTCACTGATTTAAGGAAGACTGCATTTGCCAAGGCACTTCTTTGCAAAGAAATTACATTATGTTGAGTAATTAGGATTATGTAGTGGATGGTGTTACCTCTTAGGCATTTTAAGTTTACCTTCAATGTAGCAAGAAGATATAATGCTTCATACCCCATAGCCCTTCATATACTTTTGTTGTATATATAACAATATTATTATTATTCATGCTAATGTTGATGACAATACTGATTTTCTCAAGCTAAATTAGGATTCTAAGATTTAGTATGTAGCCTGTGCCAGAAATAGCCCAAGCATTACATACTCACAGCTGGAAATACTGAAAACCAGCATCTGTGAATAGAACAGTACTACATAGTCAATGACAGATTTTGCCTTCTCCCCAGAGTTAAGAATTGCTGTGCCATTAAACTGATGTGAACATATGCAGCTTTGTGCTCTCTATAAAATCTGAGAATCTGAAGAGGCAGCGACTGGCCAGCAGGTCATCTGACTGACCTCAGACCCTATCTTTTCGTAGAAAATTGTATTGAGTACCACTGAAAGGAAATTAATTTTCTTTAATGGTAGTTCTGTGAATGCAGACTTAAAAAAGATCTCCTGGTAATACACAATTTCCAAATCTAGCAGAAGATTAATAGAACACCTGGTGGCCTCTTCAAAAAATGGGCAACAAATTCGGGGTCCCCATTCAAGAAGTGTGGAATCCTTTTCAAGGACTTTTAATGAAAGATACTAGAAAAAATGAGTGAATATAAGCTTTGCAGCATCAACCAAACTGAGTACATTGCAGTACTAACCAAATGTATGGAACAGGTAGACAAAGTTCCTTCTCCTCCAGCCAGGATAATGAGGGAAGGGTCTTCCGTCTGGGAATATATTATGGCTGTGGTTGCTTGTGCAGTTTTCCCAGCTGCAGTTGTCGATCCATTCAGTCCAGTTGTAGACGTACTGATCCTGGGCTGGAGAATCTAAGTGTAGAAACAGGACACATTCCTGGTCAAGTGAGAATTTCACAGCAAGTGAGGAAACAGGAGGCAGACACCCCAGGTTATGACAAAGTCTTGTTATGACAAGGCCTTAAACAACAGGGTACATTGGGTTATTTTTCGGCTGACATTCATTTTTTCCATATATGTGGGTTTTTCTGTTGTTTGCTTGTTTTTAATACAGACACCAAATTTTTCTGGCTTACAATTTTTTATTTCGAGGCTTAAAAAATCTACTGTGTCATGAGCCAGACATGATTTAAAGTTACTTCTCCAAAATTTGTGGACAACTACATGGCATTGTAGTGTTTTGCTGGAGCCGGTGAAGTTTCCCCAACATTTGGCAAGCAGAATTTAAAATTTTAAGTAGAAACTTCAGCCATGGAAACACTGTGAAGAAACGACTTTTAGTTTTGTCAGAAAAGTTCTCCTTAAATAACTTAGACCTGAATTTCCGTTCCTTTTTGAATAATAAAATATAGGTTCCTTTCCCAACCAGCACAATGAGCATCACGTAGAGAATGGATATCAGCAGCTAGCAAAATATTAGACAGTGAAAAAGTAGAATCTAGGCTGAAGAAAACAAAAAAAAGTTTTTATGCCTTGAAATGAAAATTACTTTCATCATTAAAAAATGTGCTGAAGATTTATGAGTTCAGAGGAAGAAATGTACAACAGCCTCTTTCACTCCAGATCTGGCAGCTTCAAACACTGAAGTTGTTGCATATTTTTCCCCCATTAAACACGTGAATAAGATACGAAGATGATTATCCTATGAAGTGGATTGCTTGATTTTAAATTATTTGTTTTTCTTCTTCTTCTTCTTTTTTTTTTTTTTTAATACTTAAAATGTGGGAATGTGAGATTTATTCTTTCTTGAGAGTTAGTTTGTTAGTGAGTTCTACAATCCCAAACTGAAAAAAAAGTCAATTTTATAAACCAGCAGCTTTATAAATTTTGAGGAAAACAGTGTGACTGAGTGATCAATTGAACCTGCACTCAGCCAGGGACTGCAACATTGTGACTGAGCTGAAAAGCAGCAGCAGTTT